CCTAGGGCAAATCAGTCCCCCTCTGTCAGGCTCAGTTTCTCCACTTGTAAAGTGGGGCTGGGAATAATAACTCTTCTGATTGCTGCCAAGGAACCATAAAGAAGATAACATAGCCCAAGGAACTTTAATGGTGAAGGCACAGAGCAGACAAGAGACCTGTGTGGAGGGCTCACTCCCCTCCCTACCTCACTGAGCACCCTACTACATGTGGCCCATGGGCTTTCTCTGACTTACACTGTACAGCAAGTTGACAGCCAGTTTTGATTTCCCGACCATCTGCTGTACTTCTCTTGGAGAGTGCAGAGGACGGATGCTCAGGCACCTTGAGCCTTCAGCCTTGGGGTAGCGGGCCTTAACATCCCCATGCCACCAGGAAACTTGTGCAGCAGGCACAAGCAATGGGTCAAAGGAATAATGAAAAGGAAATTAAAAAGTATCTTGAGGCAATGAAAAATGTAAATACAACATACAGAAGCTTATGGATTGCAGCAAAAGCAGTTCCAAGAGGGAATTGGACAGTAATATTAATAAATGCCTACATGAAGAAACTAGAAAGCCATCAAATAAAAAACTAAGCACAAAGTGAGTAGAAGGAAGGACATAATAAAGATGAGAGTAGAAATAAATGAAATAGAGTCTAGAAAAATAGAAAAGATCCACAAAAATATGAGTTTAGCTTTTGAAAGATAAACAAAACTGACAAACCTCTAGCTATACTAAGAAAAAAGAGAAAACTAGAATAAATAACATCATAAATGAAAGATAAGACATTACAACTGACACCACTGAAATGCATAGGATCATAAGAGAATATTGTGAACAATAATATGCCAACAAATTGGATAACCTAGAAGAAATGGATAAATTTTTAGAAATTTACAACCTATCAAGATTAAATTATGAAGAAATAGAAAATCTGAACAGAACAAAAATGAGTAAGGAGATTGATTCAGTAGTTAAAAATCTATCAAAGAAAATCCCAGAAACTCATAGCTTCGTGGGTTAATTCTACCAAACATTTAAACAGAATTAATATTAGTTCTTCTCAAACTCTTCCAAAAAGTTGAAGCAGAGAAAACACTTCCAAACTCATTTTATGATGCCAGCATTACCCTGATGCCAAAGCCAGACAAGGGTACTAAAAGAAAAGAAAATTGCAGGCCAATATCCTAGATGAACATACATGCAAAACCCCTCAAGAAAATACTAGCAAACTGGATTCAACAGCATATTAAAAGGATCATATACCATGATGAGGTAGGATTTGTCCCTGAGATGCAAATAGTTCAACACAGGCAAATCAATAAATGTTATTCATATATACCACGTTAAAAGAATCATATACTCATTTGAATAGATGCATTAAAAGCATTTAACAAAATTAAACATCCTTACATGATAAAAACTTTCAATAATAATAGAAGTAACATACCTCAACAAAATAAAGGCCATATATGACAAGCCCACAGCTAACAGCATATTTAATGGTGAAATGTTGAAAGCTTTTCCTCCAAGGTGAGAAACAAGAGAAGGATATCCACACTCACCACCTCTATTCAACATAGTACTGGAAGTCCTACCTAGAAAAATTAGGCAAGAAAAAGAAATAAAAGGCATCCAAATCAGAAAGGAAAAAGTACAATTGTCTCTGTTTGGAGATGACATGATCTTATATATAGAAAACTCTTGACACTCCACCAAAAAACTGTTAAAAGTAGTAGACAAAATTCAATGAGGCTGCAGGATACAAGATTAACATACAAATATCAGTTGCATTGTTAGGTAGATAGCAAGGGATTCCAGGTCTCCTAAGGACAAAAGTGAGTGCTGTTGCTTTGATACAATTGCCCCACCTGGGAAGAAGTTCCTCATCTTGGTCTTGCCCCACCCTAATCTCCTGAGGACTGCCATACCTGAGGAGGAGGGAATACTCTATGAATCTGCCAATCAACTTAGTGTACCAGCTGCAAAAGAATGCCAAGGACTCTCTAGCCCATGGGCCAAGCAGCATAGATAGGTACCATACAGTCCAGAAATTGACCTAGAACAACTCGCATGCATAGTAATGCAACTCCCAACTGTCCAATCAAAGTGATTCCATGGTGACATCTGAGCCACTAGGTAGGTTCCAATCTGGGCACTATAAAACAAGACGCAAACCACAATGAAGTCTCTTTTTGTGCGCTTCTTTGGCTCTCCCTTTTGCTGCAACAGTAGTTCCAGTCATCGTATGTGGCATATGTATTATGCTCTGTAAACCTGTATCTTGTTCTTTCCTTATAATCCTACCTTTCTCTCCTCAATAAACCTCATTTTCGTGCTTGCCTTACTTTGGTGCTTCTGGTCATTCTTCAGCCATGAGCACATCAAGAACCAACATTTTCACACTATAACCTGACAGCATTTCTATACAATAACAAAGAGCCACTCAAGGAAATTAAGAAAACAATCCCATTTACAACAGCATAAAAAAATAAAACACTTAGGAATAAATTCAACAAAGGAGGTGAAAGATTGTTACGTTGAAAATTATAAAATATTGATGGCAATTGAGAAAGATACAAATAAATGGAAACTGTAAATGGGAGAGAAGCCAAACTCTGTAATATAATTTAAAGAGGTTTATTCTGAGCCAAATTTGAGGACCATGGCCCAGAGCCATGGCCAAGAAGCCTCGAACAAGTAGACTCGCTGTGGTTGGGTTACGGTTTGGTTTTATACATTTCAGGGAGACAGGAATTACCGGTAGAGCCATAAATCAATACATGGAAGACATACATTGGTTTGGCCCGAAGGGTACGACATCTCAAAGCAGGGGCTTCTAGGTTATAGGTGGGTTTTTAAAAAACTCTTTCACTTATAATTGGTTGAAGAAATGAAGCTTTGTCTAAAAGCTTGGAATGTTTTAAGTCAAAATAAGGAAGTTTGTTAATCCAAGAGAAGCTATTGGCCATATATTTGTTGAGTAAATTGAGGACCTGCAGGTTTGTCTTCTACAGCCTTAGGCCTGTTAATGAGTTAGGAAGGATAGCTCCAAGAAAGGAGGGGGACATGATGAAGCATGCCTGACCTCCCTTTTCATGGCCAAATCAGTTTTAGAGTAATTCCTTGGCCAATAGAGGATCCATTCAGTCAGCCATTGGGGGGGGGGTCTTAAGAATTTATTTTAGTTCAGAAAAGATTACCCCTGTTCCTGGATTGCAAGAATTAATATTGTAAAAATGTCCATAACACCCAAAAAGATGTATACATTCAATCAAATCCCTATTAAAATTCCACATCAACAGAAAAAATAATCCTAAAATGCATATGGATTCATAAAAGACCCTAAATAATCCAAGCAATCTTGAGAAAAACTATGAAAGCTAGAGGCATCACTTCATGATGTCAAACTGTATTACAAAGCTATATAATCAAAACAGTATGTTATTGACATAAAAGCAGAAACATAGACCAATATAATAGAATAGAAAGCCCAGAAACAAAGCCATGCTTATATGGCCAACTACTCTTTGACAAAGACACCAAGAATACACAATTAGGAAAGGGAAGTTTCCTTAATGAATGATGTTGGGAAAACTGGATATCCATGTGCAAAAGAATGAAACTGGATTCTCTTCTTATACCATGCACAAATGTAACTCAAAATAGATTAAATATTGAAATGTAAGACCTGAATCCATTAAACTTCTAGAAAAAACACAGGAAAAACTTCCAAGATATGGGTCTTGGCGATGTTTTTTTCAGGTATGACACCAAAAACACAGGCAACAAAAGCAAAAGTAAACAAGTGAGACCATGTCAAACTAAAGTTTCTTCACAGAAAATGAAGCAATCAGTGAAAATGAAAAGACAACCCACAGATGGGAGAATGTATTTGCAAATCATACATCACATGAGTGGTTGATATTCAAAATATATAAGTAACTCTCACAAAACACAATTAAAAAAACATAGCACAAGGTGGCATAGCACAAAAACACAATTTAAAAAAAATAGGCAACAGACCTGAATCGATATTTCTTCAAAGAAGACATAAAAAATGACCACCAGGTATATGAAAATGTGCTTAACTCATTAATCATCAGGAAAATGCAAGTAAAAACCATAGTGAGATATCACCTCACCCCTGTTAGGATGGCCATTATCAAAGTGTCGTAAGTGTTGGCGATGATACACTTATGTCAAAAGGGAACCCTTATATGTTGTTTGTGGGCATGTAAATTTGTACAGCTGTTATGTAGAACAGTATTCAGATCCCTCAAAAAAAATACACACTAGAACTACTATATGATCCAGCAATATCACTTCTGGGTATATATCCTAAGGAATTTAAATCGTGATGTGAAAAAGATAGCTACATTCCCATGTTCATCGCAGCATTATTCATAATAGCCAAGGAATGGAAGCAATGTATGTGTCAGTCAACAGATTTATGAATAAATAAAATGTGGTGTACATAGACAATGGAACATTATTATTCAGCCTTAAAACAGAAGAAAATCCTGCCATTTGTGACAACCTGGCTGAATCTGGGGGACATTATGCTATGTGAACTAAGCCAGATACAGAAAGAAACATACTGTGTGGTCTCTCTTATATGTGTAATCTAAAAACATTGAATTGATAGGAATAGGGAGTAGAACGGTGGATACCAGAGGTGGGGAGGGGGTTGGAGGAAATGGGGAAATGTCGGTCAAGTGGTACAATCGTGCAGTTATTATGAATAAGTTCTGGAGACCTAATGTACAGCATGGTGACTATAGTCAATAATACAGGGTATTCCAAAAGTCACCATTCATAGGGAAAATGGTAAATTGTAGCTAAATGCATCTTTATTTATAAAATATTCATTACAAAATTTTTCCTTTGTATGGAGACTTTTGGGATACCTCGTAATGTATTTTATTCTTGAAATTTGCTAAGATAGCAGTTATTAAGTATTTTCAACACACACACAAAAGGTAATTATGTGAGGTGATGGTTATGTTAATTATCTTGACTGTGGTAATCATTTTACAAAGTGTATGTCAAAACATTAGTATACGCATCTTGAATATACATCTAATTTTTGTTCATTATCCTTCAATAAAGCTGAAAAAATCATTATAACAACAAAAAAATTAGCATGTTTTATTTAACAGCTAATAAACTTGGTTTACACCTCTGGAATATTGAGGCCTGTGGTGGCTGGTCCTCCCTTTTTATTCAGATATGGGTGTTGGAGGTGACTATGAGGAAATTATACACCTCTTCAGACCTCAGAACAAATATCCATTTACTGTTAATCAACCTTAAAAAGCAGTAGGAGGGATCTGATGTTGATATGTAGGCAGAACTGTAGCCAATTTGAACCCAGATCTGGGCTGTCCCTATCCTCACCTGAGGCTTGTCTGAGGCCATTTACCACTTTTGCTAGAGTCTCTTGGAATGGCAAGGTCCTGCAAATGTCCCCAGAAACACCACCCATTTTCAGGGAGGGAAGTTGAGGCCACCTAAGGAGAGGAAGGTACTTGACCAACCAAGGATAACAGACAGCCTGTGCCACCACATGTGCCCGTGCCCCACAGGCTGTCCATTCATGACTAGGGCTGCAGCTTTCTGAACAGTCTTCTTCATCCTTCTGAATAGAATTTGGGTGCCTGTCTCATTAAGCCTTAATTTTCTTATTTGTGAAATAGAGATAATTCCACCACCCTCCCAAGGCTAGTGACAGACTGTGACTCGCTCAGTCGTGGAGGACTGTCCTATAGACCTGGACATGCAGGCTCTTGCCGACTTGGGCCCATCATGACATAGAAGCCTGCCCACCTACGCACCTGCCATCCGAGCTCTCCTGGCTGTCTGGGATTCCAGGCTATGTCTGAGGACCTGTCTCTCACCTGACTGGAAGCAGTGCCAGGGCTATTCCTAGGCTTGATGTCTTCTTACCCTTCAGGACTTTGGTTCCTCCAGAGTCCTTTCTTCCTTTCGTGATGTCCCCTTCCTTCCCCAATGGAAATCCCGCAGGGGAAGACAGACAGAGCCATTCTCTGTTAACTGAAACCTCAAGGTGTTCCTCAGCCCTGTCACAGCTTCAAATTGCTCTGGTCTGTGAAATGGGAAGGACAGCTCCCCTGATGGCGGTGGACAAGGTTTGGAGGGAAACCTGTGGCTGCTTGCAGGTGAATTCAGAACCTGGTGTGTTATGACCCTCAGCACAATCAGTAGCACAGATGCCTGGGGAACTGGCATATTGGGGGCTCATTTCCCCAATCCCATTACCCACTTCTCCCATCTCTGTTTATAATTAGGAGCACATAATATGCTGTCAACAAATGGTTGTTGAATGAATAAATTGGCAGTGCCTGGAGTAGAAGGAACAAGCATTGTGGGCTAGAGTCTGAGAGTCCTGAGTCTTGCTATCCCACTCTATAAAGTAGGTGTAGTACCTTTATTCAAGGAGATGGTGAGGAACTGGCCTGAGGATCTCCTCTTCCCTCATGGCTTAGGTGGGGCATCACTGACTCCAGTAAACGCTCCTCATCAGCCCCACTAAGTGCCCTAGTGGCCTAGGAGACCTGGTGGATGAGCCTTGGGGTATGTATGTGCTTGGCTTGGTGTGCTTTCCTCAGATCGGGTAATTGTATAAACATAAGATGCTTTTTGATTTTCTCTTAAAATATTCTTGATTTTAGCTTCTACTTAACAGAAAAGTGAAGTTTGTCATCATAAAAATCTTTCCTAGCGGACAAAGTCCAGACGGTTCGATTCCAAAATGATGACTGAGGGAAACATGTCAGCCTCATGGGGATTTGTCTCGTTTTTATTATCTTTTTAAATTAAAGGTGATTTACTTGAGCTTGTAGCTCCAGTGAGCTGGATATTTGGGGAGAAAAGAATTTCCATCAAAATGTTGTCTTTGTTAGGTGTCCTTTTTCAAGCTTGATGCTTTGGGTATTAGAAATAAAACAGAAAATCTGGCTTGGCCCTGTATGAAATTGATATGTTCATGTTGATTACTCACATCCAGAAGGACAGGGAGCTCACTAACTGTCTTACGGAGCTAAACAGCTGTGCCCGTTCCTCAGCGCTGCCTTGTGCTGCCTGCCTCAGGCCATCATCACTGAGACGGTCAGGATGCCTGGCACTGCGCCCAGTACACCCCACAGTGTACCTTTTCCCTTGGGGACCTGAGTGGGGCCCACGGCCACAGGTTTGATGATTGTAACCATAGCAGCTATGGAGTGTTTTGCTGTTGCCAAGCTCTGTTTGGAGCCCTCCACATGGATCATCTCAGCTAATCCTCCCAGCCACCCTAAAGGAAGGCAATAGCCTTCTTCTCCTTCTTCAGATGAGTAAGAAGGCACAGTGAGGTGAGGGCACATGCCTGGGGCCCCACCCTGGTCAGTGATGGAGCCAGGACTCCCTTGTCAGGACTCATCCTCTAACTCCTGGACTGGGCTGTGATCTTATCTGGCCATTGCTGAGAGATGGAAATGGGGACACAGCCCTGAAAGCCAAAGCAATGACTTGTTTTTGCAGGCCGCTTGTCTTGAATAGGGGTTTGAGTTTTATCTTCAGTGTAATGGGGAGTTACAGAGGGATGAATTTATTAATTAAGTTGTTATAACTTTTTATCTTGAAATAATTTAAGACAAAAAAAGTTTAAAATAGTTCAGAGTTCTTGTGTACTTTTCACTCCATTTTCCCCATGATAACACCTTATTTAACCATACCATATTACCAAAACCAGGAAATCAACACTGACACAATACTATTAACTCAGAGTTTCTCAATCTCAGTGCTACTAACATTTTAAAACCAATATTTCTTGGTTCTTTTGTGGCGGTTGTCCTGTGCATTGTAAGATGACTGGCAGCACTCCTACCCACAACCCATTAGATACCAGTAGCAACCTCCCACCTGATTTGTGGAGACCAAAAGTGTCTCCAGATATTGCCAAATAAACCCTGTGAAGTGAAATCCTCCCAGGTTGAGAACTACTATGTTAACTCAAATTCAAAGCTTATATGTACTTATTTTAGAGGGTTTTTTTTTTTTTTGGTCAAAATCTCAATGAAATTTTATCAAATGTGTATGTTCTTATAACCATTACCACAACTGGTTTACAGAACTGCACCTGCATCACCAAGAAAGTCCCTGCAATTATTGCTACATTGTCACACTCTTCCCCTATGCCCAAACCATGGCAATCACTGGTCTTTTTCCATATCTATAATTATGTCACCTCCAGAACGTTACTTGAGTGGAACCATACAAACTATAACCAGTTGAGACTGGATTTTTTTATTCACTCAGCATAAGTACATTGAGATACGTCCAAATTGCTGCTGTATCAATGGTTATTCCTTTTTAATGGTGAGTAGTATTTTATGGTATGGTTGTACCACTATTTCTTTAACTATTCACGTATTGAAGGACATCTGGTTTTTCTCCCCCACCCAAGTTTTTGGCTATTATGAATAACACTGCTGGGAACATGTGTGTACAGATGTATAGAACATTTTGTGAACATCAGTTTAGGTTGTGAATCCTTTTTTTTTTTTTTTTGGCCTATGAACATCCGATTGTTCCAGCACAATTTCTTCAAAAGACTACTTCTTCTCCATTGAATTATTTTTGCACCTTTGTTGAAATCAGTGGTCATACTTGTGTAAGTTTAGTTATGGACTCTTTATTACAGTCCATTGATGTATGTGTCTCCTCTCTGCATTGTTCTGATTACTCTAGTGTATAAATCTTAAAAGTGTTAGAGTGATTCCTCCTACTTTATTTTCTTTTATTTTTTTTCCTCCTACTTTATTCTGCTTTTAAAAAACTGTTCTGCCCATTCTAATTCCTTTTCACAAAAATACTTTAGTATCAGTGTGTTTATATGTACAAAGCATCCTGCTGAGATTTTTATAGGGATTGTGTTAAACATATAGATCAATTTGGGAAGATCAACACTTTCTTATTTTAACCCTCCCATACAGAAAACAAGTATGTCTCTTATTGGAGTGTTTTGAGCAGCGGAGTAACATCTTATCTGTGTTTTCTGAAAATCATGTTGGCTACTTTGTGGGGAAAAGATTAAGGAAGGTGGCATGAGAAGAGGCAGGCAGTAGGCTATGTAGGAGAGAATGATGGTTCAGGACAGGTGATACAGGTGGAGGGAAGAAGTTGACTTTAGGGTTATTATTGAGGTGGAAGCACTAGGAAATGATGATGGACTCAATTTGGGGCCTGAGGGAGAGGGAAGTGTGAAGGACAGTTCCTGCTATTCTGGCTTGAGTCAAAAGATGCCACCACTTAATAGGAGGAATATAGGAAGGACCAAGTTTTGGAGAAAGAGGATATATTTGGTCGTGGGTGTTGTGAACTTGGAGTGCCAGTGGACCTTCCAGATATCTACTATGTCTTATATACTGTTGGATACAGAGTCTGAAGCTAAGGAGAAGATAAGCATTCCATATATTGATATATATAGTCACTCTTGCTCTTTCTATCATTTGGGTTAAAATGAGATAACCTTAGCACTGAAAGGTTGAAATTTAACTTCCTGGGCCCTAATAATTTGCAAAGGTGAAGTATCCTCATAGTTGAGAATGTGAAGGGGAAATGGGCTTTATTGTTTTCTTTCTCAAGAATTGGGAAGTTGAAATCGTTTTAGATTTCTCCCAACCCTGCTTGTTCTTTGTCCTAGTGCAGTCTGATTCAAGAATCTTGGCTTTAGCAGGCAAAGGGCTTTGACTACATCCAAATACAGATGTGCTCCCCAGCAGGAAAGCCCAGCATTCAGACTGGAACTTCACCATCAGCTTCACTGGGACTCCAGCTTGCCAAGTGTAGGTCTTGGGACCTGCAAGGCTCCATAATCACATGAGCCAATTCCCCTATAATAAATCCCTTTGTATCTATCTGTCTGTCTTAGTCCGTTTGCATACTTGAGACTGGATAATTCATAAAGAAAAAAGATTTATTTGGCTCACGATTCTGCTGGCTGGAAGATTGGGCATCTGGTGAAATCCTTGGGCTGCTTGCACTCATGGCAGAAGGTGCAGGGATGCTGGTATGTGCAGAGATCACATGGAAAGAGAGGAAAGAAGAGAGAGGGGAGGTGTTAGTCTCTTTTTTACAACTAACTCTAATAGGGTCTAATAAAGAGAGAACTCACTCATTACTATGAGGATGGCACCAAGCCATTTATGAGGGATCTGTCCCCATTGACCCAAGCACCCCTGTTTATGCTCCATCTCCAACCCTGGGGATCAAATTTCATTATGAGGTCTGGGGGCACAAACATCCAAACTATAGCACTATCATCTCAGAGAGAGAGAGAGAGAGAGAGAGAGAGAGAGAGAGAGAGAGAGAGAGAGAGAGATCTACATCCCGTTAGTTCTGTTTCTTTGGAGAACTCTAATACACCCAGTCAGCCGGCATATACGTTTTAAGTACCTGTATGGTGCTCCCATGTCAAGCACTGTGGTGAAGTAAAACTGGATAAAGCAAGATTACACTCTCAACACACTTCCAACAGAGTTGGAAAGATAAAGCTTCCTCACATGAAAAGCTAATGAACAAGTCAAAGCAGTGTACACAGAAATACTTTCTGACTCAAAACAGTCAGGAAATTTAAATTTGGCCAGGGTTTAAGCAAGTGTAGCCAAGTGAAGTTGCTTCAAGACTAAAAGGCAACCATCACTGCCTTGGGGATGGTAATAGGAGCCCAGGGTCATTCCCAAGGTGAGGTCCACCCTCCAACACTAAAGGCCATGGACCCCGAGTACTGTGCTGCTCAGTACCTGCTGGGTGGATACTGAAAGTCATGGTGTCACAAAGATCTCTCAAAATATTGCAGTCATCCTTGAGCATGTGGGGTCTGCCACAACGTTGAATGCCTCATTGAACAGTACATTGTGCATAACTAAAATACTGTGGCAAAGCTGTCCTTCTGCTGGCTAAATTCCTAATAGTGATGCATTGGTGTTCTCCTATCACATTCGGATCCCTGGCCATAACGATGGGTAAGAGTGCCAGGTAGTCTAACGGCACCAAGCTCAGCAAAGCCACATGCTCCTCACTTGACAGTAGCTTCCCCCGCACTAGAACTGAGAGCCACAGCCTGTCGCTTCTGCGTGAGCATGAGCAGCCCTAAAAATAGGCGGATGAGGCAGAAGCAAAAGGGATGGCCCAGGGCACAGAACTCAGCTCTAAAGCGGGCGGTTGCAAACGGGAGCGCTAGGGCTCGTTTCAGGAGCCTAGGCTGAAGTCTCCCACCTGATGACCATGGCCATTCCTTTCCCAGATCAAAAGCAAAGTATGAATGAAAGCAGCAGTCCCCTGAGAAGCATGTTATTTTGCTGAGCTTGGTGCGCTAGGACAACCTGTCGCTCTTGTCCCTGAACCCAAAGGCCTCCCTCCGTGGCCACTAAGCCGGACACCAGACTCACTCTGGTCGCGAAGATAGGGCGTGCTCTCGCGAGCTGGGAAGGTCTCCTTTGCGCGGGCTCCAAGAACCCGCCCCCGCGCGACCGCCCAAAGCAGAGGAAACCTTGGCAACAGGTCTAGTACGTCGAAAAAGCTCTTCCCTTCCCTGGGATTGGCTGTGAGCAGGGATGAGTGTAACTGTGTAAACAATCCTGAAGGGAAACCAGTTTCGTGCCTTTATCCAGTTCTGTATGAGGCTCCCCAGGTATAAGCTGGACAGGAGAGCATTTCCCTTCTGAGCCTTGCACTTGGAACCCTGAAAGGAAGACGATGGGTCACAGGATGCACTCACTGAGCAGATTTATCAACAAAATAATCAATTCTGCTTGACTTTGGAGTGCTCTCTGGGTGTGTGTGTGTGTGTGTGTGTGTGTGTGTGTGTATCACATTACATAATATACAGGTAGTCAAAAGATATGGGTATCTATCCAAAGGAAAAGGAGACATCCGCACTCAAAGTTTATAGCAGCACAATTCGCAATGGCAAAGATGTGGAAACAACTCAAGTGCCCATCAACACATGAGCAGACTAATAAAATGTGGTATATGTATATCATAGAGTACTACTCAGCCATAAAAAAATGACAAACTACCCATTGTATTATCCTGGATGGAGCTGCAAATCATTCTTCTAAGTGAAGTATCACAAGAATAGAAAAACAAATACCACATGTACTCGCCATTAAGTTAGTACTAATTGGTCAACACTAACGTGAACATATGGGAAATAATATTCACAGGGGGCCAAGCGCGGTGGCTCATGCCTGTAATCCTAGCACTCTGGGAGGCCGAGGCAGGCAGATTGCTTGAGGTCAGGAGTTTGAAACCACCCTGAGCAAGAGTGAGACCCCGTCTCTACTATAAATAGAAATAAAATTAATTGGCTAACTAATATATGTAGAAAAAAATTAGCCGGGCATGGTGGCGCATGCCTGTAGTCCCAGCTACTTGGGAGGCTGAGGCAGGAGGATTGCTTGAGCCCAGGAGTTTGAGGTTGCTGTGAGCTAGGCTGACGCCACGGAACTCACTCTAGCCTGGGCAGCAAAGCGAGACTCTGTCTCAAAGAAAAAAATAATAATAAAAAAAACATTCATAGGGCATTGGGCAGGTGGGAGCGGGGAGGGGATGGGTAAATCGACATGTAATGAGGATGGTGTGCACTGGGCATGCTTGTCGGGTGGTGCAAAGGCAATTTATGTAACCAAAGCATTTGTACCCCTGTAATTCTCTGAAATAAAATTAAAAAGAAAAAGAAAAGGATATGTGCTGGTCACCTGGGTGTATTAGTCAGGGTTGTCCAAAGAAACGGAACAAACTGGATGTAGATATGATTATCTATGTATTCATATATATATTTCCATCTATATTTAGATGGCTAGAAAATAGACAGTTGATAGATGCAAAGATATGACAACATTGATTATAACGGAATTGGTTCACATGATTACGGAGGCTGGGATAAGTCTTGGGTAATAGTAATGGCCCAGCACACTATATAGTTATTGGTATATTAAACAACAAGCCTTTAAGGCAAGTTCTATTATTATTCCCATTTGAAATATAAGAATATTTGCCAAGCGACAGACCCAGGAGAACTGATGGTGAGTTGTTGTCCCAATGCCATAGAAAGCCAGTGTCCCAGCTCCAAAGCAATCAGGCAGGAGGAGTCTCTTCTTACTTGTGGGAGGGTAAGCCCTCTTGTTCCTATTCAGCCCTTCAACTGATTGGATGAGGCCTACCCACAGTGCACAGGGCAATCTGCTTACTGGTCAACCGACGAAATGTTATAAATCTCATCCAAAATCACCCTCCCAACACACACCGAGTAATGTGTACCAAAATTCCTGGGACTCCTGATGGCCCTAGTTATAATTGAGACATAAAACTTAACCATCATTAATGGTTACTTGCCCAAAAGAAATGTCTGACTGTGTAGACAGAATTTCAGCACTTACAGCCTGCAGCCGTGGATGAACATTGCAAAAGGTGAGAAAGAAGAGGTTAGATAGGAAAAGATGAAAATAAGGAAGGAAGTAAAGGTGGCACAACAGTGAAAGGTAGAGGATGATAAGGAAGAATAAAATGACAGAAGAGTTAGGGTAGAAGGAATGTAATCAAGACCTAGGTGCAAGAGGCCTGAGAGAGAGGTCCAACTTTACGCTCAATCCTTTTATCCTTCACCCTGTGTAGCCATCCATCTCATAGAGGCCTCCAGGCCAATTGTCCTGATTCAGACCAAGCTAACAGAGAGAGACTGCAGCGCATCCCAATTTCTCTCTAGTGAGCAAGTATCTGTATACAGGTCACCCTCCCCAGTTCTCGTAGGAGGGCAAAGTGAGGTGCCTGCCTTTCTCTTGCCTGGAGTCTCTCAGCTCAAGTAGCCCTAGTAAGAATGCAGGGACGCAGGCAGGCTAAATTCCTGCATGTGTGTCCCCTGAGAACACATACACACTGTTTCATTGATGGAGCTTGGTCCGGAATGGGTGGCGATGAGTCTTGGGCAACGCATCTTTGTCAGGGCACCAGTGCTTTCAAAAGTGAACTATTGCTGGGAGAGAGTAAAGTGTTGGCTCACATAGATTTAAACTTTTGCTAGATCAGAAGGGGACTTGCTCACCCTCTGGGAAGTATCTCAGGCCCCTCCTTTCCCTGAAATAATTTTGCCTGCGAGTAATCTCTTTTCGACAACCTGGACATCTCTATCCTCTGGGCAATTAAGATCCCACTCACACCTGCCATGGAGGTCATAGCCAAGTATCTGTTACTCCACAGCAGGCCCTCAAACTATGGCCCACGGCCACATGCGCGGGTGTTTTTGCCCGTTTGTTTTTTAACTCAAATAAGATATGTGCAGTGTGCATAGGAATTTGTTCATAGTTTTTTAAAAAATATCGCTGTCTCCAACCGGTCCGAGGGACAGTGAACTGGCCCTGGTTTAAAAAGTTTAGGACCCTGCTCTACAGATTTGTAGGAGAGGTCTGGGTTCCCTTGCCCCCAAAATCTTGAATCAAAGGAATCCAGAGCTCTCTCTCCCACTTTGATTTCAGCTGCTGTGGAGCTGTGTTCTCAGCCCATCCATGAGAAGCCAGTCCCCTACCGCCATCACCTCATTTCATCTTCCTATCAGCCCGGGAATGAGTGTTAGGATCACCAATTGTACACATGAGGTTGCAGACAGCTGCCTTGAAGTCACAGGCGCCCAGCATGTGTCGGAGTTTGGAATTTTGAATCTCCTTCAAATCTTGTGTTCAGTGTGTGTTCTCTACCCAGCCAGGCAGCCTCCCACACACCTCTCTCCTGCCCTACCCCCAACTGCCTCACCACTTCCATCCTTGTGATTGCCTCATACTCAAACTCGCATAGCTGTCTGACTTTCAGTGCCTTTTGCTTTCACTTATATCCCCGAATGATCTTATATCAGGGCCTCTTC